AGGTTTAATCAATTTACAATTAAATATTTTCTCAAATAAAATCCAAAAAAAACTTTTTCTCTCAAGTTAGGTTTTAACTTATTTCAATCATCCTCGCATTTAATTCGCCGCGCGCTTGTTATTTATTTTTCATTATTTTTGTAATTGTTCAGGGTTTGTAATAGTTAACTTGGGGTTTTTATTTTACTGTTTAAATCCCTGATTTTTGGTTATGTAATTAATCCCCCTCCCCGAAGCCTTGTAATAGCTAGGTTTTATTTCCTCGGACTTTTAATTTGCACAATCTTTAACTGTCTAGATTTATGGCTAATAGGATTGTATGGCAAGAATGTCTGGAAATTTAAAACGGTAGATTACCTAATGTGCAAAGATTAAATAACTGAAACAAATCATATGCACACATTCACTCTTAGGATTTATCTCACTTCGGTTGCCTTCGGTAAATAATCATTAAGCATAGGAGATTTTAGTGGTTGCCCTCCAGTCTAAAAGACCAAAATGTTGCCTCGGAAAAGTTGCCTTTGAAAAGTTGCCTCGAAAATGTTGCCTCGGAAAGATCTTAAGACTCTAGGGTTATTACTAAAGTTTTCTAACTATTTCTTTAGTGATTGTACTTGTCCCTTTCGAATGTCTCTTACAACTCCAACGACAGTGCTACCTACTCCTTAATAGTAGGATAACGCTGTCTAAAGGAAATAGAACGAACAATCTTTTTTCGAGTAGGTAGAATCTTAAGTACTTGCTCAATAAAAACTTTTCACACAAACACCTTTCAAAACAATTTTCAAAACAAACCTCGCCATATCCTTGAGGACTGATACAAGGGTTATCACGAAATAAAATATTTTTAAGACAAACACACACAAGCAATTCGAAAAATGAGCAAGTACCTAAGAACCCATGGATAGAAAGGGTGTTAACACCTTCCCTTTTTATAATCTACCCCCCGTACTCAGAATATCTCGAAAAAATGTTTTTTCTATTCTTTTTCCTTTTCCATGATTGGATGAAATAAAAGTCGGTGGCGACTCTTGCTTACCGCGACATTTTGCAAACACAAAACGCAAAACGCAAACTAGTATAACAGCCGGTTCTGCCACCGTATCACTGCAGACAAGCCAATCTAAATCCTCAGGTTTAAGAAGATTGAACAGGGGCAGTTGTTGTACCCCAAAATTTGTCATATCGTATTTTCCCAAGATATTTCTCTTACATGGTGATCACAAACATCTGATCAAAGGAAAGATAAATTTTTTTGAAGATAAACAAGGAGTCTTTGATTGGCATTTTGACAAAATCCTTCGATCGGCATGTTAAAAGGGCTTTCGATTGGTATTTGAACAGGCTTCGATTGAGCGCCTAACCTCCTCTAAGTTTGCTTCAAATTTCCAAGCTTCGATTGAAGCCTTGGTCGTTTTCTTGTTTGCTGCACACCAGCTTCGACTGGGCATGTTTTTCCTTTAAAGCAGCCTCCTTCGATCCAAAGGGGAATGGCTTCTTGTTGGTGCTCCTTCGATTGCACCATTGTCTTCACATGATGGCTTAACTCACAAATGCAATGGCTACCTGCATGTAAGCTGGATCCCTACTTCAATTGGGCATTTTTTTCCCTTGGAGCAAGCTTATTTACTGCTTCTACTAGGAAAATCATCCGTCTGGGCGTGCCTTCAGCGCACAAAAGCAAGAACATCTCCAAACTGGCCTTCGATTCACAAAGCTCCCACTGGGCAAAAGACCCCAGCGTATCACCAATGCACGTATCCCTCTTTAGTTTGTCTTTAGCACAAGGCCAAGACTCCTTCAAATTTTCCTTCGACCCACAAGGCACTTGCCACCTTTATGCCAGCTTCTCCTAGGCAAAGAACTTCTTTTGATTCGCCAGACAAAAAAAAGTTTCCTTCGACCCACATGGAACTGGCTTCCTTTCTGCCAGCTTCGCCTAAGCAATGGCCCCGGTTTAAACAATTGTACACACTTCAACACGTGTGATAGCCATTCAAAGGACACACCAAAGGCCCATTTGAAAGGAACACCAAAAGGACCATCTGAAGACCCATTCGAAGGAAGTAATACTAGAGCCAATCGAAGGGTACACAAGAGGTACATTTGAAGATGCATGCAGAAAGGCCCAGTCAAAGGCTACACAAGAAGTCCAGTCGAAGGCTACATAAGAGGGCCAGTCAAAAAGCAACACTATAGTGTATTCGAAGGAGCCAAAATGTCCTCATACATTCAAAATTCAAAAAAAGGACAAGATCCCATGTTTTTGGCCAACATTACAAACTCTCATTCATGGCATTCAAACATAATCAAGGATGTTTAAACATTTGCCTTCATGTCCCCTCCCTTCTACTATATATAAGCAGAGTGCTTGCAAGCCAAATGGAGAGGATTACACACACATTGGAGATACGCTTCCCCATAAACCCACTAAAGTTATCAAAAATCTCATAAGTGATCCAAATCAAGGAAACCCTTAAACAAAGGTACCCAGGTCCATAAGCCAAATCGAAGCAATCCTCAAACAAGGATATCCACACCCATCACCAATGATTTATCCATCAATCATTGGTAAGAATTGATAAAAAGATCAAACTCTACATTTGCATGACACATCTGTAATTTCATTCGATTTGTTATCCAAGAATAAAGACCTGGGTTCGACCCCAGGTGTTGTACCCCAAAATTTTCCCTCCCATATTTCTCAAGACATGTCAAGAATAATCTCCAAGTTGCTCAAGATTGCTCAAGAGTTGGACAGTCAAATCATCTCCTAAGGCAGTCAATTCAAAATTAGGGTTTTGTGTTGCATCAAGGTCCTTACATCCAAATTACCTCAAGTTCTCCCCAATGTCCTAATATGTTCTCAAGTTCATCCATATCAAATTTCAAGCCTTGCAGAGGAAGTTTGGTCAGTCAATTGCTCAAGAGGCCCAAAAATCGACTGTGCTAGGGCAAAAGTCAATTGTAACCTAAAAATAGTCAAACCTCAAGATTTTTTGTCAAAATTCTAATTTTGAAGGATAATTCATCATTTGATCAAGGGTTGATCATGATTCATCAAGGATTGCTCAAGATTCATCAAGATTCAAAAGTTGTTAAATTAGGGTTTTGCAGAAAAAGTCAACTCAACTTTCACCAAGCATAACTTTCTCATACTTTATGAGAAATGACCCATCCAAAGCTCATTTTTAAGAGGATGCAATTTCCTACAATCCATCTTCATACCCAAAGATCAAGAAATGCATTCACAAAAAGTTTCAAATTTGGACATTATAGGTCATTTTTGAAAGTCAACAAAAACACCTTTTTTGCCAAAGCTTATAACTTAAGCATGGAATATCAAAATGACATGAGACCAAAAGGGTTGGTTATAGGACATCTCAAGGTTTCTAAAAAGTCCAATAACACCTCCAAAAGTTAAAAAATGAAGAAGTTATGCATTGTTGAAGTTGGGCATTTTCCCATCTCTGGTTACGTGGCGGAGAAGATAACGTAACCATCTCTGCTAAAAATCATAGGCGACGTCATGACGCAAATAACGGAGTACAAAATAAAAATACAGTGCAAAAAAGTGTGAGAAATTTCAGAGAAACGGACGAATTATTTATAAAACAGCATTTTGCCCTAGTTTTGCCCTAGGAGCCAAGTGAGATGGCGCCTCCTCTCACTTTTAAGGAGCATGCGCCATCTCACTTGGCTAAAAGCCAAGGGAGGCGCCAAGTGAGATGGCGCCTAGGACAAAATCCTAGGTGGAGGCGTCAAGTGAGATGGCTCCTCCTTTGGGGAGTCATCTGAAACATGGTTATTTGCGTAATTTTTTCCGAAACCCGATTATTTGCGAAATATTATTTTAATACATGGTTATTAATAAAAAAAATTCGCTAAACATACATAAACGTTATTCTAAATTTACATGAGTACAATTTTTACCGTACTAAATAATTTTTACTTGTGCGGTCGCACGGATATATAATTTTTATAGTATAATTGATTTTGTGTACAAAAAATTTACAAAAGAATTTTTTCATAAAAGCTTCGAATGAAAATTTGATTTAAATAGTTATTCTTAAAATATTATTTTAGATATTTTTATTTATTTATACTTTTTTTAGATATCAAAATTTTAAAAATTCACTTAATTTTGAAGCTATTTTAAATACATTTTCATAAAAATCATTTTTGAAATACAACTTTTTTTAAAAATTATAATTTTAACCACACTTTTTAATCTTTAATAATACATGTTTATATTATAAAATATCAAAATTAGTGTTTAAATTTTAAAAAAATGAATATAATTTTTTTTTAATATTTTAAAAAACAGTTTTGTAAAATCTAATTTTAAAAATACAAAAAAAAAAAAAACCTATTTTTAAAAGCTAAAACAATCGGACCCTTAATCTCTCTTTCTCAATTGATTTTTATCTTTAATACATTAATATTTTTTGGTGAATTAAAAATACATTAAATAACAAAAAAAATAGTCTTCTTAGACTTGAGAGGCTAACAATGCAAATTATGAGACTTACTAAATTCATGGAACATTGTTGTGTGTATCATTGGGTAATGAACGATATTGGAATCTAGGCCCCTCATACTGGCTTAACTAATTTGGAGTAATTAAGTATAAGAATTAACTATAGTTTTGATTTTTTTTTTTTTTGGTTACTTGCTCATAGAATTAAGCTTTCCATATCCTTACAACTTAATTCAACTGACAAATATACACACAAAAGACCATTAGAGAAGAAAACTAAATGGAAAGAGAATCAAAGGGAAGAAAAGAACATTAGAGAAGAAAGAGTTTTCAATCATGTAATTTCAGCATAAACAATATACTCATGCTTCAGCTTCCTGCTAGTTATGCTGATGGATCTTTTACCTTCATTCGCCAACATGTATGTAATTCAAGACTCTTAAGGAATTTGAATCATGAATCAACACACAATATTCGACCCGGTTGATTTCATGACAATACCTTGCAATTGAAAAAAACCTTAATCCCTTATCTTCTGGACTCCAACCCACCGAGCATAATCCACCCACCTTTAAAGATTTGTGTAACGAAAAATGAGGACATAAAGATGAAGCAGATGTAGTAAATATTCTAGACATTAAATTAGTATTCTTACAATAGTGAGCCCAAGAAAGTGTTTCCGGTTCTAACAGCAAAGCAGACTGCACTTAACAAGAGCTTGTTTTGGTGCAACAAAGGATCTAAAATCCGTTGTTCGATAATTCCAGCTAGAATTTGGTACCTGGTAGAGAACAAAGACAAGTTTCCTATTAGATTATGCTGATACATGCCAAAAAAAAGTTAATTACAAACTTAGAGTTATGATGCATTATTGTGGTCGCAAAATCAAACTAATTTTGAAACTTTTTGTTAATAAATCGCATGATCATGGATCAGCCAATGGTAAAATACCTTAGGTTGCTAGATACTGCCATGTAAACACCATAGGCAACACTAGTAGATAATACCGGTACTTCCTCAGCCTCGTCAGCAAAAGATTTATCAACAACCTTTCGTGCATTAATCAATGCGTTTGTTACACCAGTACCAATCTGAAAAGGCAATCCATACAATCACCCAATTGATGCATATTCTAGAAATCAGTATTTTGAACATAATTCAGTAAAAACTAGAAGTAGCTAGTGTATATGTTAGAATGTTGAATACCAGTGATGCACCAGTTCCAACTGCAAATAGCTTAGCTCCATTCCGCTGCAAAAGAGATTATCATGACATATGCGTATATGATATAACAACTGAATCTCCTAATACATACCACAATAGCACCTATTCTCTGTATAAGTGAAAAGGACGTTCCAGCCAAAGCCACCTGTTGAATGTTGACAAAGTTAAACACAACCACTGAAAAACATAATGCCAATATCTATCTGTTGAAGCATGAAGATGTAAAATAAACAAAAGCAAATGAAGAGTTGAGTTGTTAACCTGAAAAGCATTTTCAGGGCAGCCAAAGAAGAACTTAGCAATAAGCCCGGCATTAACAGAAGGTGGTGGTCGAAGAGAAACCGTCGGAGCAGGAAGCCACACGAGCATAAAATCTGCTACAATGGCCATTACCTATTAATAATTAAATTAAATAATAAAATAATGATTATTATAAAAGATAATTTGTAAGGGATTTGCAATTAAACTCAAAAAATATGAAAACAAAAATATATAGCATACCACGTCAGCACAAACAAAATCAAGCTCTTTAGTGAAGTTTTCTTTTCGCTTCTCCAACTCCGCAGCAGTCTGAAATGAACACAATATTCATAAAATAGATTATGTGCTTGATCAATGCTTCACATAAATAGCAATTACATAAAAAAAACCGAGAATGGAAAAAATAAATAGTTGAACATTCATGGTAGATTTCCTAATTAACCAAAAAGAAGATTAAAACAACCCATATTGGTAGAAAGAAGCAAAGAAAATGCGCATAGTAAATAATAAAGTGAGTTTAAACCTTGGTAAAGATTCCAACACCGCATTCCATGGCAACCTTAGCGAGGAACAAATCATCAGCAAGCAATCTCTCTCTAAACCCTCCAAAATTAAGCAACCACCGAAACACACTCGATTTTTCCAGTTCCAAAAATCTCTTCACAATCGAACCTGGAACTCGTCCGGCTTTGACCGCCTCTGCTAAATCAGCTGGCAAACTCTCCAGCGGCTTACCGACCTCCGCAAGTACCATCAGCGCTTCTTCTCTGTTCCGATCCCTATCCCCCGATCCACCATCATCGCCATCGCCTCCTCCTCCTCCTCCTCCGATTCCGCCGCCGTTTCCGGATGCATGAATGATGGTGGAGGTTTTGGAGAGTGTGAAGAGAGGAGGACGGGAAGTGAAGATGTTGGAGTGAGAAATGATGGTGAGAGTTGGGAGTGAGAGGGAAGTAGAAAAGCGGTGGTTTAAGTGGGGGAGAGAGAAAGAACGAGGGTAGATGGTGGAGAATGAAGAAGCCATGGCCATGAGGTGGAGTGTGGACAGGACACAAGAGTGGAAAGGTTGTTGAAGTCTGTATGTCTGTCAGTCACTCACTGTTTTGCCAAACGCCACATGTGAAGTTGGAATTAAAGAAAAACAAAACTCTTGAGATAAGTAAATAGAGTGTGAGAGTGATTTATTTATTTGAAGGAAATGTTATGTGTTTTTATACACTTAAGATATATTATTTATAATACATGAAGTATAATTATTTATCTAATGTAATAATATATGTAAATATTCTAAGTTGATAAAATTTTGTATACAATAGATATTCACTATTCACAATATATTTCGAATAGTAAATATAACAATTTATTATTATTATAACACTTCTCTTTTTAAAATATTTGCATTGATATTCTGGTGAAGTCTTGTCGAGGATAGTTATGGGTACATCTGCTGCCTCGTTAAAAATCTTATTAAAAAAAATTATTGGGATAAAAACTTTAATAAGGGAAAAAGAGTAAAACATTATGCTCCCTTCAATAGGACATATTAGTTCTTCTTCAAAGATCTCGAAGGTATCACATTCCAATATTTTGTAAGTACTTCCTGAAAACTGACGTGGGAAGTGCCTTTGTGAAGAGATCCGCCATATTATCATTCGAACGAATGTATTGAATATCAATCTCTTTGTTTCTTACGATTTCTTATGTGAATGAGAAGAACTTTGGAGGAATGTGCTTGGTTCTATCAGTTTTGATGTAACCTTCTTTCACCTGGGTAACACATGCAACATTGTTTTCATATAAAATTGCTGAATTTTTATCTGTTGTTAAACCAGATGCTCCTTGGATATGTTGAGTCACTGATCTTAACCATCTACACTCTTTGCTTGCTTGATGAAGGACAATTACTTCAGCATGATTTGAAGAAATTGCTACAAGGGCAATTAATTCAGTATTTATAGCATCCTTCCAATTTTTCCAATCATGTCTATTTTGACATTCATTCATAGTTTAGGATTCGGGATCATCATATTTATTCATAACTTTGCATGCAACTGAGAATGAAAATATCTCATCAACATTCATACCCTTTCGGTTTAACAAATTTCCCATATTAACATAATTAATTGAAATCTGGAGATCATTCTTATTTTCAGCTTCATTATCAATTATCTTATTATCATCATCTTGTGCTTCTTCAAGAGCACGTTTTTCAATCAGGGATTTATTATCATCTAGTGTCTTTTCAAGATCACTTTCAGTCAAGTTTATTCCCTTTCTTTTTCGGGGATTTTTGTCTTTGGATCCCATAGGTTGGCCACGCTTCAAGTGTACCTTAGATGTACTTGCTACATCATTTAGTTTTGAAATCTCAATCCGAGCTGGGACGTTTACAGCTAGTACATGTGACTTTGTAACTCTTTTCAAATTAGTAAATGAATTTGGCAGTTGATTTGCTAAATTTTGTAAGTGGACAATTTTCTTTACATTTTCTTCCCATGATTATATGGGTCCAAATGTAATAAATATGGTACATACCATGATATTTCATTTTCTGATTGTTTGTTTTCTCCCCCTAATGATAGAAATTTTGTTTCTTCAAAATGACAATCAGCAAATCTTGCCTGAAAAACATCACCCGTTAAAGGTTCAAGATATCTAATAATAGATGGTGATTCATACCCGACGTATATTTCCAATCTCCTTTAAGGTCTCATCTTTGTTCTTTGTGGTGGAGCTATTAGGACATATACTGCACAACAAAAAATCTTTAAATGTGAAATATTAGGTTCCTTACCAATTGCAAGTTGATAAGGGGTGTGTTTATGATCAGCACTTGGCCTTAAACGTATGAGTGTTGCAGCATGTAAAATTGCATGACCCCAAACATTAACTGGTAGTTTAGTTCTCATTATCAATGGTCTAACAATATATTGAAGACGTTTAATTAATGACTCAGCTAAACCATTTTGTGTATGCACATGAGGAACAGGATGTTCAACAACAATTTCGATTGATATGCAATAATTATTAAATGATTCAGATGTAAATTCACCAACATTATCAAGTCTGATTTTCTTTATGGTATAATCAGGGAATTTAGCTCTTAGTTTAATTATTTATGCAAGAAATTTTGTAAAAGCCATATCACGACTTGACAATAAACGTACATGTGATCATCTACTAGATGCATCAATTAATACCATAAAGTATCTGAATGGTCCCGACGGTGGATGAATAGGTCCACATATATCACCTTGAATTCTTTCAAGAAATGTAGGTGATTTTGTCTCAATCTTTCCTAGTGAATACTTTGTTATTAGTTTGCCAAGAGATCAAGCTTCACATATTTTATCTTCTTTTGTAAGTTTTACACTTTTCAATGGATGATCATGTGTACTTTCAACTATTTTACGCATCATTGTTGAACCAGGGTGACCTAAACGGTCATGCCATAAATTTACTATTTTGGGATCTTCTTTTACTACTAAATTGCATTCAATTTCATGTATATATGTATAATGTAATTCATAAGGAAATTTTGGTAGTTTTTCTAAAGTTTTCTTCTTTCCCAAAACATTAGCAGTGATATTAATATATTTCATGTTACCTTCAGTTGCAGTTTCGGTATCATATCCTTGAAGATATATGTCATTAAAACTCAACAATTTTCTTTATGATTTTGGAGAGTATAAAGCATTATTGATGACAAACTTTGTCCCATTTGGTAATATGAACGTAACATTACCTGTTCCTTCTATCAAATCTGTAGGACCTGAGATTGTATTTATTACACCTTTAGTAGGATTTATTTTAGTAAAATATTTCTTACTTTTGAGGATTGTATATGTAGTTCCACTGTCCAGAATGCAAATGTCTTTGACATGTTCCATGTCAAACCCTTTCGAAATAGAAATAAGATTAAATAGAGAGTAAATCAATAACATATTTAACATTATTATATTATGAAAATATAAGATACACATGCAAATTCTTAAGATGTTACGTAGTCCAAATATAAAATTAATACAAACACATTACTCATTATTCAAATAGTTATTTAATTCATTGGTCATTCAACGAAATCAACAGTCTCAAAATAGGTACTATCATCTCTGGGTTCAATTTCATTAAAATTCACTTCTTTCTCCTTTTCCTCTACAAATTCCATTTGTCTTTTACACAAATATTCTGGTGTTCTACACACCTTAGACCAATGGTCTTTCTTTCTACATCTGTAGCATACTGTAATACAGTGAGAGAACTGACTTGAGTGTTTTGCATTTTATCGCAATTGTTGCGGATAGCAAGATTCTCCATCGACTTTTATTTTATCTAATAAAGGAAAGGGTGAAAATAACAGGAAAGACCTTTTGAGATATTTTCTTGAGTTTGGGGGGTAGGTTATGAAAAGGGAAGGTGTCAGCACCCTTTTCATCCGTAGTTATCTACGGGCTCTTAGTTGCTAGCTCACTTTGAAATGCTTTGTTTGAAATGTGTTTATGATGGTTTTTGAAAGTATTTTTGAAAAGTGTCTTCGTTTAGGAGAACTTTGTAATGATTCTCGTCTCTATAAGTATGTATATAAAGTGTTGACTTTTGAAAATATATCATGGAAAAGTGTTGGTGTATTTGAAAGATGTTTTGAAATGTTATGAGCAAGCAACTACGAGCGTTCTACCTACTAAAAAAGTCTTTGTTCATTTCCTCCTCCTTTAGATATTGCTATCTTACCATTGATTGACAAGAAGCCCTATAGTCATAGAAGGCAACATTGTAGGATACCTTAGCAATTTATCTTAAGGGTCTAAGATCGTTTACCGAAGGAAAAATTGAAGGATCATCGAGGGACTATGATCTTGTATTCGAGGGTCATTGCTAAAGTATCCCACGTTCGAGGGACATGATTATTTTATTCTAAGGCAACAAGTGTGGGTTAACCCTAGAGGTGCAAGTGTGCAAAGTGTTTGTTTTTATGCTCGTTGTCTTTGAATTAGGGTTGTCTACTTGTTAATTTTAAGTCTTGTCATACAAACCCTAATTACTAGCAATAATATTGAAAGCGATAAATTGCGGAAATCTAAAGTTCTACGCTATTACATCCTTTTTTTGGATGGGGATACAAATCACAAATGGGGGATAAAAGCAATTAAAACCTAATTACTATTACAACCAAATTGAATAACGAATAACAATATCTAAAAATATAAAGATAATGTAAAAAGGAAGGAAAATTGTTTTTTAAAAAACTTTATGCATTGACACATGAACTTATGCATCAATACATATCACTTCTTGCCCCTGGAAATCAAAACCAACTCAGTATATATTGATACATAATGGTTTGCATCGACTCATTTCTGTTTTGTATTGACACATGCACTTATGCATCGATACATATCATTTCTTGCTCCTGGAAATCAAAACCAATTCATTATGTATCAATACATAATGGTTTGCATCGACTCGTTTCTGTTTTGCATCGACTCATTCGTATTTTGCATCGACTCATACACATTTTGTATCTCTGTAGTATGTCTTGATAACAATATGTATTGATGCATAATTCATTGTATCGAATCATCCCCTGTTTTGTAACTAATATGAGTCGATGCATATGGGATATGTATCGACTCATACTGCAGTTTTACCTCTAAAAAATCTTGGTTACCTATATAAGCGAGTTCTCAACACATGGTTAATGAAAATAAAAAGTAAGCATATGGTTAGCTTCAGGGCAATGATATCTAAATTTTATCTTCACAAATGAACCACTAATGATGCTTGTATGAAGAGTTCAAAGTCAAGAAAACTTACCTTGAAACTGAAATTCGTGTTTTGATTTAGAGTTGTTGTATTGTCTTGGAGAAGTCAAGTTGCAGGTGGCTATTTTTGAGTTTGGAAAATGGTGATGTAATGTTACAGAAGTTGTTCTTGTATTTGAACAACTTCTATATGATGTATATGAAGTATCTGGATGGTTTGTTTGGGAAAAACTTGCAAGGTTTAAGAGGTTCAAATATTAGGACTTCA